GTCTAGATCGTTTGATAAAATATAAACAGAGGCTACGAAAACTGTGGCAAGAAACCAGGGATCCAGCGTGTAAAACGGCAGTCAATTGGGTCACCAAATCAATCAGGCGAATGACCCGTAAAAAGGCACTTGAACGGTGGGAAACAAAAATAAGTAACGCTGAAGTCACACCTCAGTGTATATGGCCCATTGCGAAATCTCTCCTTCAGAGAGACGGACCAAGGGCACCAACTGCTATTCATGGTTCTTCTGGCCTAAAATTTCATCCTTCTGAAAAAGCCAATGAAATTGCCGACTGTTTGGAAATTCAATTCACGCCACATGACCTGTGCGACGAAAACCATGAAGAGCGGGTGGAGGCTAGAGTTCAAGCTCTGCTGGAAGCCGTGGATGAAAACCCCCCTCTAAGGATCAGACCATGTGACGTTCAGAAATTAATAAAATCCCTGAAATTAAAAAAGGCCTGTGGAATTGACGGCATCCCAAATGAATGCCTCAGGCACCTTCCAAGGAGACCATTGGTTCACCTAACTCACTTATTCAATCACTGTTTTCGGCTCTCTCACTTTCCAAATACTTGGAAGGAAGCAAAAATAATAACTTTACCTAAACCGGGTAAAGACCCGAAATTTCCTCAAAATTTACGTCCGATCAGCCTCCTGTCCACGACAGGAAAACTATTCGAAAAAGTAATTTTGAAATTCCTCCGTAAACATATTGAAGAAAGAGGCCTGCTCAACGCAAGTCAGTTTGGTTTTCGTGCACGTCACAGCACGACATTGCAATGTATGAGGCTGGCGGACCACGTGACCCTTAATTTCAACAATAAAATGTCTACGGCTGCAGTGTTCTTGGACATCGAAAAAGCCTTTGATACCACGTGGCACTCAGGCTTGCTGTTTAAATTATCAAAATTGGAATTCCCCAACTCTTTGACCAAGCTTATTGGGTCCTTTCTCTCTAAACGTAAATTCAGGGTCTATGTTGAAGGCGAAATGTCAACGCCAAGAGAAATGCAAGCAGGGGTGCCACAAGGTTCTGTCCTTTCCCCCACTCTTTTCAATATGTACATTAATGATGCCCCCCAAACCCATGGTATTCATTTGGCCCTTTTTGCGGACGACACGTGTCTATATGCGACAGATCGCAAAGAGGGTTTTATTGTTAGAAAACTCCAGCGCGGTCTCAGCTCAATGGAGACCTGGTGTGAGCGCTGGAATATAAAAATTAATGAAGATAAGAGTCGTGGGGTCTACTTCTCTCGTGTTAGTCGATCGCCTGAGTCTTGTCTTACTCTAAACGGAAGAAACATTCCATTTGTAAATAGTGCAAAATATCTAGGTGTAATCTTTGATAAGAAAGTTACTTGGAGATTACACATAGAAATGATCGAAGCCAAGGCCTTCAGAACATTCATTAGAGTGTATTCCCTATTCAAAAGTGAGCGATTGAGCGCTAACATTAAACTGACCCTCCATAAAGCTCTTATTAGATCCGTAATGACTTATGCTAGTCCCGCCTGGGAGTTTGCGGCAGACACTCATCTAGTGAAATTGCAGCGCCTGCAAAACAAGGTTCTCCGCACGATTGGCAATTTTCCAAGGCGCACACCGGTCCGCGATTTGCACATGGCATTCAAAATCTCGTACCTATATGATTACATAACAAATGTATGCAGGCAACAAACAGAAGTCTTACAAAATCATGATAATGAGAATGTTCGCAACATCGGACAAGGCGAAGCCCGACACAGAAAGTATAAGAGGCTTAAACTTGGCGGCGGTCAGGCGTACGACCGTTCAAGTGACTAGACTGCCGTGGTAGTGAATAATATTGGAAATAGGACGTAATCTGCTGTACTGAGCCTGGACTGACAGAGGCCTTGTGTATATTGTACATAGAAGTAAGCAATAAGTTTGTATTGTAAATGTATATAAATACAGACAGTGGACATATGAATACAGACTGACTGACAACTGACAGACCCGACCTCTCGTCAGAGAGGGCGCTCCACATAGACAAGATAGTAACTTTCATTCAAAAAAATATCTGGCCATAGCCCCAGCTGGTACTCGACACAAAGACAGACAGACTGACTGACCGTCAGTTGTTTCGGGTCCTTGACTCTGACTCTCTATGTGGGATGTTCCCACACAGTCTTACTTGTTTGTTGTAGAAGAGCGGGGTGTCTCACAGGTATCTGGAAACGTTTCGGGTCCTCCTTCTTCAGGGCAGATCATGGGATGTTAGCCGTGTAGAATTTTAGAGGTCTGCATGAAGGAATTTGAAGACTCCATTAAGGTTTTTAGAGGGAAGTTCTGTCTGCATCTTCAGGGTTTGAATTAAATTTACCAAATTACTCGACGCGAATCCCAGAAGATAATGATCTTTGTAGAAAAAATTGAAGTTGCCTGTGTCGCTATATCGACTGCTCTTCTTGGACTTCCTCAGTATTTTTTCAGGACTCAGACTGATTTAAAACTTCTCGCCCATTTCAGCATATAGGTCCATACTGAAACATTTTAATGAAATAAAGCGTAATGATTTCTTCCGAGAGGTCGTTGTTGGTGCTATTGACTTTACATTAAAAAATCCCCAAGTCCAAATCTTAACATCCAATATTGAAGTAAAAAACAATCTGCTCCAAAGTTTTAATTTTCGTGAGAATGGCGACAGATGATTTTTTCTTGTGGGAAAAAATAACTGCAAATACAATTAAAAGTCTAGGCCATGTCCATCTGGGCTAGGCGACAAATGACAACCAGGTTCTTCGGCAGATCCATCTGCTGAGCAGAATTGTACCCCTTCAGTGCACTTTGTTTTCTCTGTGTCGACTATTGTACCATGACGACCAAGACCACGAGCAACCACGACTGACCACCATCCACACTAGAACAAAGTCCTACATTTCAGTTTCGGATCTTACATTTGTAATGGAAGTGTATAAGTTTTGTGTATTCTTTAGGGAGTAATTAGGGTCATTCGAGAGAAATTCAGTTTCCTCATATTTTTACAAATTATGGTGTTCGTGATATCATTCCGCAGTTTCAAGTTCTAGTTGGGATTCTGCTAAACTTCTCAGCGCACATTTTGCGAGTAATGTTTCTAGTAGAATGTACATTTTTACTGTTTTATGCCCTTTCTCGCCAGTTCACATACCAGTCCGACTTGTAAAGGAAGTAAAGCAAAGACACAGCTGAATGATGACTTTGATGTTTACTATTTGCTGTGTTTTGACGGTTCATTAAAGAGTTTGAAGTCGTGAGAGCTGATGGTCTATAGTATGTACGTATATGCAAGTCATACAAATGCATTTTTGCGGCTCTACGTTGAAAAAATGTAGAGTAGGTTTACTGTTTCTAGGACGTAATTCCGTGCAGTCTGGTAGCTAGTTACCGACGTTTTGGAAGCAAGATGCTCACACAAAATGAGTGAACTAGCTTCCTTCAGAACTGAGCACAATCTGTGAGACTACACAACGTGTAATAAGACACTAAGCTTCATAATCACTGCCGGCCTCAACTGGCTCTACTGTGAGAACAAAGAAGTACACATCAGTGTGTTTGTTCAAAATAATTAGTATGTTTCCTTACATACTTTGGCAAATATTGAGAGCTAGGTACTGGTACACTTGTTAGAAATGTGATGCAGTATCACTAGGATTCTTGTATATTAATTAATTTTCTCCCCACATGTGATAAAATAAGTTTCAAGATTATGAAAGATTCTGCATTCTCTTGCAACAGGAATGACGAGAATTCTGCTACAGAGAGCTGAAGAAACATTTCTTGCTGTGACAGAAAGGATGGTGAGTGTTTTGTGCTTGTGTGCACAGAAAAGAATTTTATTGTCATCAGTCAGTTCTCATATCTTAAGAAACTAAACTTTTTATGCCAAGCTTGTGTTAGTTTTCATAATTCATGTGGGAAGTTTACATGGTTCTTCGTATTGTAACAGTTTGCATTATTCTGTGGGAGAGGGACCAATTGAAGGAGAGTGATATGGGTATGTATGTGTATGTATGTACGTATGTAAGGGTTAGGCCATAAAGACCGGCCCCCGCACTGAGACCTTCAGTGAACTGTTCTGTTTCCTCTTGGGTTAGCCCTTTATTAATCCTACATTTTTAATAAAGTGTAGGACCCTGTGTATGGGGCCATTATAATAGTCACAAGTGACAACATCTTAAATAAGCTGTGGCCTCACAATCACACAGGATGTGTGCTGCTGATTCATTTTCTTGTAGGCACCTTTCACAGGTTGGGTTGTCTGTCAGTCCCAACTTGAAAAGGTGTTCTTTCAGGTGGTAGTGTCTGGTAAGTAATCCTACCACCCATCTTAGTTGATCTCTGTTTAATCTCAACAGATCCTTCGTTCTTCTAGCAGAGGGTCCTGCTATAAAACCCTTTGCCTGTCTGAGTCCAATTATGGATTCCCAGTGTTTTTTATGGTTTCTATCAGTCCAGTCCCTGATCACTTTGTTGGCAACTCCAATTGAGATGCTGCAAGCCGGTTCAGGTCCTATGAACGGCTGTTCAGATCGTGATATGGGTAGGTCATATAGCAAGCTTGTGAGAATGAGAAATGCATACAGACTGAAAGAATGAGATCACTTGGGAGACAATTGTGAACATGTTTTTTTAAAGGTACAGTTATGGGGTTTTGGACTGTGTTTGTTTGTGTCAGGATGCAAAGTCATGTTGAGCATGTATGAACACAGTGATGAGTGCTGAGGTTCCATAAAGAGCAGATATGTATTTTCTGTGCTTCCACAGGGACCACAGGTTTCTCAGGAAGGTCCCTGCATTATGAACTTAACACTTGCTAAGATTATGAAGTCTGTGGAGAAGAAATCTGTACAGAGCAGCTGTTATGGGTTAGATGTAATGAGAAACAGCTACAGCAAGGCGAGCATATATTGTTTCATGTTTGGTGTTGTACAGCCATGACTGATAGAAGATGTGATGCCATTACAGAACTGTACAAATTCAGAGAAGGTTTCAGTGGGTCCATATGGTGAGACATACCCAGCAAGTCATGATGCAAGCCAGGCCATGAATATAAAAGCTGAGGAAGTCTCAGACTCACAAGAGGAAGTGAAGCCTGTGCAAATAACAGTTCAAGAAATAAAGGCTGAACCTGAGGTGAGGTGTATGTTTCTGCATGTCCACTCGTAGACAGATATCACAAATAGGCAGGAATTCAAGTTGTCTTTCTCATCTTTGTCTCTCTCTTTGTGCACTTGAAAAAACTCGCCTGTGCTGCTGACTCGCCTTTGAAGGCCTTTATCTGAAGTGTCTCTAGACAGTTATAGTTTGTTGAATGTATGCTGCTTGTGATGTACCACTTCTGTTTTCTTTTAAGCAGTTCTGATGCAGATGAAATTAAATTTTGCATAAATGGAACAGTGTTTGAGAGAAATTCTATAGCAGCAAAAATCCTTAGGGAGTCACGGGAACTGTTCGCAGTGAGTTAGTGGTACTCTTGTTAAAACCAATAAGTTACTAGGACTCTTGTGAGATAATTCCAATGAACCCCACAAGATATTTATCATGTGATGACTAGGTTCCAAGGTTACAATAGGTTCTTCATTTTCTTGCAACAAGAGTGGTAAGAATTGTACTGCAGAGAGCTGAAGAAAAGTTTCCTGCTGTAAGCAAAAGAATTGTGAGGGTTTCGTGCTTGTGTGCACAGACAAGAATGTTATTGTTGTATTTCAGTTGTCTTCGCCAAAGAAACTAAATATTTTGTGACCCGCTTATGTTTGTTTGCATAATCCATGTTATAACCGGTCTTCTCTCCTCTTGGTTGCTGGTTGCAGTTGCTCCTTTAGCTGTTCCCTCTCACCTGTTGTTACTCCGAGTTTGCAGGTTGCTGCTGCGTCCTTCTTATCCAGTTCTGCTTCCCTTTTTGTTGTTGTGGACAGTTGTTTGTGGGATATGGGTTACCGGAATGCTGGGCGCCAGTAAGCTTACTGTAAAGGCTTACATTTCGGGAAAAAGGGGGGATGAACTGGAAACTACACGTGATAGGTACCGCATTCTCACTAGAGTGATGAGATTCTGTCTCAGGGTGAATACGGGCCTCGCGTCAGCGGGAAAGAGAGAGTGTTTATAGCTAGGCACCACCACACACTGTTTAATTAGCAGATCTTGACATACATGTACATGTAACAGCACTCGTTGCACTCCCTTAAAACACCTTGGACTTGCTCAAACGTTGGCGACCGGATCCCTGGCTAGGTATTTAGTGACTGCTTCTTTTAGCACAACACATAGAATTACACTTTCACTTAAACTTTTAACACAAAGTAAAATTCACATTAAATTTTGAAGAGTTATTCAGAGATTGTTCCTGCAAACACTTAAACATAAATTTGTTTTAACTTTGACTTTTTTTAAACCAAACTGCCAGTGACGCTAGTTTTTCGGCTGTACCCTTGGAGGGTTGTTCAGAGACTCCTCTCGCAGACTGACTGTGCTTCGAAGCAAGAAATCTTCACGGCTTCAGCTCCGCCTCCAAGTTACTACCCTAATTTCTGCTGATTGGAACAATTCGAATTTAGGGAGTTAACCATAATTCTCACTGCTCCAATCACCTAGCTATAATTTGGGACTTTGGACCTTAAAGTCCTAACGTCGTTTTTGACAGCTGCTTGAAAAATTATGCCAGTAGCGTGGGTTGCTGGCCTTCCCACTTTTGACNACACTTGGGTGATAACAGTTTGGGATATTATGTTTGAGAGCAATGAGTTCAAGGAGAGATGTGGGTAAGTCAAGTAGTGCACATGCAACAGTGAGAAATGCATACAAAGTTTTGGAGGGAAAACCTGAGAGAAGCAGACCACTTGGGATTTAAAAGAAATAATTTGGAAGGGTTTGTACTGGGTCTTTTTGCTTTAGGATACAGAGCCATGATGAGCATGTGTGATCACAGTAATGAGCCCTTTCTGGCTTTCTCAGCTTATCCTGTATTCATTCCTCTTCTGCCCCATGCCTGCTATTGTTATTTTCAGTTTTCTATAGATAGAATGATAAGTAAGAATCAGTGTTCACTCTACTCCCTAGTTCTTAAATTGTTTACTACAATGTTGCCAACTCTAACATAATATTTCAGTATTTGAGGGTAGCCAACATAACACTCCCCCATAAACAATTTGGGAGTTTTTATTTTAAATACTTATTCATTGTGAATATTTATTCTTATTCAGAGCATCATTTGGAAACATTATTCTTAGAACAATCCAAGTGAATTAATAAAATCAGTATGTTTACGTACATTTAAACCTTTCATGGAACCATCAGAAACTAATTGATTTCCAGAGCAGCCTCCATAGTCTAGGGGTAATGTTCCCACCTCATGACTGAAGGTACGCGGGTTCAAACCTGACGGAGGTCGTGGAATTTTTAAGGGCGGAAAGATTCAGGGAACAAGTCCTCCGGGAGGGACTTTAAGCCGTGTGTTACGTGTCGTAGATTTACGGCATGTAAAAGAACCTCATATGTCTCTAGGAGACCTCTGAGCTAAATTACAGGCCCTTTCCCACCCAAGTAGTCTCCAATGCCTCTGGTGGATGGGGAAGCATCAAGGTACAGAGGGCCGACCTCGTTGGCTCTACGTGGGCTGATGGCACGCACTGTTACCGGTAGGGTATGGCAACAGTAGAAATTAAAGGGGGACACACAATGGACCAGTAACTGGTCTAAGTGCATGGGGAAACCCACCCCCTCTCATAATACGAACACAAATACGAATTGATTTCCAGGGATGTAATGTACTGTCAATTCCTTTGATTCAACCTTTTCTCTTATAAAATGAACCCTTATGTCAATATGTTTTGTTCGGTCATTACTGACAGGATTTTTCGCTATGTCTAAAGCACCACGATTATCACAAAAAAATAGGAATCGTGATTTCCTTGTTACGTATATCAAACCATAATTTTCGTAAGAAAACGGCGTCTTTCGTGGTCTCTGATAACGCCATATATTCTGCTTCTGTGGTTGACAAAGCTACAGTCCTTTGTTTTTTACATCACCAACTAATAGCTGCTCCTGATAGTTTGAACACAGATCCACTAAAGGATCTACGATCTAAATTTCCTCTGCTCCTCATCTTTATGCATGGCTAAGTAGGTAACAAAATCTGGAAATTCTTTCTGTTTCCTGTTTCGAAGTGGATATCTTCTTTCTTCCAAGTTTCCTTGTAATTGTTCTAAACCATCTGGCTCTAATGGAACTTCATTTCCTTCATCTTCTACTTGTGTTTGTTGTTCTTCAGGGTTTTCTTGCGGAATCATTGTTTCATCTTGTGAGTTGACGTAGAAACTTAATGACTTTGGAAGAATGTCTTTAAGCTGAAATCCTTTCTCACTTTCTTTCTTGTTTGTTATTTCTTCTTCCAGAAATTTTACATCTCTTGCCACAATTATTCGAGATGGATTGCAGGAATCTGATAACCGATAAGCTTTACTTTCCTCACTATATCCCATAAAAATGTATTTCTTGCTCACAGCATCCAATTTTTGGCGTTTCTGTGATGGTACATGAGCATAAGTTGGAGATCCGAAAATTTTTATATGGGAGAGATCAGTCTTTTCTCCTGTCCATATTTCTTCAGGCAATTGATTCTTTAGTTTCTTGTGAGGTGATCTGTTTAAAAGATATATGGCTGTTTGAGCTGCTTCAGCCCAGAATCTTCTGTTGCAGCCGGAATCATACAACATACATCTTGTTTTTTTTTTTTCCTCCAAAATGCTGCGATTAGCTCTTTCGGCAGTTCCATTTTGTTGTGGATTATATGGCACAGAGAATTTCCTTTTGGTTCCCTTTTGTTTTAACATGTCATTGAATAATTTGCCGCAAAATTCACCTCCATTATTGGAACAAACAGCTTTTATTGTCAATCCAGTTTCTGTCTCAACCATTTTCATAAATTCTTTAAAGGCTTCATGTGTGTCACCTTTTTGTTTCAAGAAACGAATGAAGATTTTTCTGCTATGATCATCCACAATAGTCAAAAAATATTTAGCGAGCCCATAATAGGGTACTTCAAATGGCCCAACCAGATCTAAATGCAATAGATCAAGGATTCTTTTTGACCATTTGTTCTTTGATTGTAGGAAAGGCTTCTTTGTCATTTTGCCTTCCAGACATGGAACACATTTCTTTGACTGATCATGTTCTTGAAAATCGATGCCACTAGCTAAACCTTTTTTTAGCAATCTCATGCTGACTCTATTTAAATGCCCCAAACGCCTATGCCACAACAGTTGTTCATCAACTTGCTGGGTACTTGCAACTTGTTCATTCTTTACAGTATTAATACAAGATTTTTCACATTTGTCATTTTTCTCTTTGGTATAAATCTTCTCTTTAGTTGCTATATTTGCAGATTGGGTCATGTTAGCTTTGGTATTTAAACAATAAATCCCATTTTCGGGATATGCTTTGGCAAGAACTTTGCCTCTTACCTCAAAATCATCAGAATCATATAAGTTGCAACAGTCTTTGGTGAATAACACAATTGTACCCTTATTTACAATTGAGTTTACAGACAATAAATTATTAGACAATCCCGGTACATGCAATACTTCTGAGATATGGCTGTAGTTGTCATTCATAAGTTTTACATCACCAAAACCTCCACTGGTTAACATGTTGTCATCAGCAAGGGTTATTTCATGTTCTTTAGAATCATGCGTTTTTAGTCTTATTTCCGGTCATATGGTGTGAAGCACCAGAGTCTATTACCCAAGTATCATCCTTAACTTTAACATAATGGGCAGATACCATATACATGGATCTTTTACTGGTCTTATTTTTCCATTTATTCTCATTACACCTATGATCGGATCCTTCTTTATTTTCATCGGTACTATTAACTGATTTAGAAGACTGGTTGCTCTTAAATTTTTGCTTATGCTGATTGTTATGAATATTATTATTGTTCGCCTTATCCTTACTTTTGAATCAACAGTTTTTTTATTTATATGGCCTAGCTTACCACAAATTTGACATTTTGTTGGTTTATGTTTAAGCTTATCTGTGGACAGAAAGGCTGAATCTGAATTTGCAATTTTACCTAATTCAATGTCTTGCAATAGCTTAGATTTAATGAGCTCACTAGTCAAAGTTACGTTGGAGTTTTCAAGCACCATACACATGGGATAATACTCTTTAGTTAAACCCTTTAACATGAATGCGGCTAATAGCTCATCTTCTATTTTTTTGTCCATTGAGACTAATCTGAGATTTATTGACATGAAGGCATTAACATATTCCTGCATGCTTTTATAGTCCTGAAGTTTCAAAGAGCACAAATCAGTTAAAATACTTATCCAACTATTGACTCCCTGATCTTTGAATGTTCTTTCCAATGTGTCCCAGGCTTCCTTTGCTGTAGTTGTCTGGACAACGTAAGATTTAACTTGGGGCTCCAATGTCAGACAAATGATGGCTCTTGCTTTCTTGTCCTTTTGTTTCTTGATGGATACTGGCATTGTGTCTTCTGCAGGATATCCTTTGACTGCTGACCACACAGTTTCAATCACTAGAATGTTTTGAATATCGAAGCACCATTCTCTATAATTTTCGCGTCCTTTGAGCCTATCAGTATTCGCGAAGGGCTTTGAAGTGGCCATGATGAAACTTGTTTCTTTGTCTTGATAGCGGTGTCAGTCCAAAGGATCACTTTTAAATAACACTTTTCACTTTTATGCTTTTTACACTTATCAATGATACGATGCTGGGCCCAGAACCCGTTATTTTCAGTTTCCTGTAGATCGAATGATAAGTAAGAATCAGTGTTCACTCTATTCCTGCTTTATTAAGACTCAGAAATTTGATACAGAAGTATGCCTTATATACATACAAATCTATAACTATAGTAACACTAAAACAATATAAGGATACTGTTGTTACACACGTAACTGTAGTTACACATAACAGTAAACATCACTTAGGTAACAAGACATAGCCTAGTTCTTAAATTGTTTACTACGATGTTGCCAACTCTAACATTATATTTCAGTATTTGAGAGTTGCCAACATAACAGCTATATGAGCTGCCTATCTCATCCTTGACTTTATCATATAATTATGCTTGGTGAATGAAGGTTACAAGTTGTGGAGCTCTTTATTATGATGTTTTTAGGTACAAAAACAGATATTTTCTATACTGCCGCAGTGAGTGATAGTTTTTCGGGAAGGTTTCTGAGCTATGAACCAAGTACTTTCTAGTGATCGTGATAGCTGTAGAGAAGAACATCTATACAGAACAGCTCTTATGAGTTAGATGTGATGAGAAACAGCCATAGCAAGGAGAGCATGCGCTGTTTCATGTGTGGTGTTGTGCATCCATTTCTGAGAAGGATGTGATGGTTTTTACAGAGCTGTAGAAATTTGGAGAACGCTTTAGTGGGTCCATATGCTGAGACATATCCAACACCTCATGATGCAGATCAGGCCATGAATGTAAAAGCTGAGGCAGTCTCAGATGCAGAAGAGGAAGAGGATCCTCTGCAAATAACAGTTCAGGAAGTAAAGGCTGAATCTGAGGTGAGCTGTATGTGCACTGTTAGGTAGATGACACAAATGTGCAGAAATGCCACTTGTTTTGTCTGTGAACGTGAAACAGCTCCACTGCGCTGTTGACTAGATTCTGAAGGTTTCTTTATCCTGAAATATCTCCAGGCAACTGTAGTTTGTAGAATGTTGCTTGTGATGTACCAGTCCCATTTTCTTTTGAGCAGTTCTGATAGATGAAATGAAGTACAGTATTAACTGAATGTTTTCGGTAACTTCTGTACAGGAAAAATCCTTCACATTTTCTTTGTCTGTCGCACCCATGAAGCAGTGCTTTGGTACTACATCATAGAGTTCCCAGGATCTATAAATGCTGAAGTTTATCATTTGTTTTCTGTCTCCCATGCAGTCTATATCCACGTAATAATATAGAGGTGTCACTATGTTGAGGATATGTTATAGGATAACTTAAAGATTTGTGACAGTGTGTGACTGAATATAGACACGTGTTACCTGTTGCCCTTTGTTTGAAGGAAACTTAATATACCTGACACCGTTGGAGTTGCCCCTGCACCACTATCAGGTGACTGGTTGTCATGACAGATTTTTTTGTTGTTTTCTCTCAGACAGAAAGGTGACAGAACATTATATGCAAAGAATGTGTGAAAGGTGTATAAAGCAATAGTGAAGAACTGGCATTGGCAGCACATCCTAATTCAAGTATATAGACACAGTTGTCATGAAATGGAATATACAATGCATGTAATCAAACACACAAAGAAGGCTCTTAATGAACATCAAAGAAAATTTTTATATATACAAATAGACAGGTTCTTACTTTTCTTGGCCTGTTTACAGCTCTGCAGTTCACAGTGACTGACTCACTGCTGGCTGCGAGGCGCATACAAATTTTGACAATGAATCAGTATGCTTGTGGCCAGTAACTTGTGGAATGAAGTATATACAGTTCACATGTCACAGAAGGTGTTGAAAATGCTGTCCCCCTACACTTAGACATTCCTTGCACCAGCAGAAGGGGTTCTGATTAACCCTTAACCTTTAACAGATGAATGTTATATATATCTACAGCAAGTAGCACCCTGTGTTGGCCAAATGTTATATATTTATGTATACGAGTATACCTGGCAGGACTCCTGCTCCCTTTGGGAGTGCTGACAGTTTTAACTTGGGTTTTAAACCAAAACAAACCCATGCACGTTCATGTCTGTGGTTCATTTGTTAGCTCTGAACAATGAAATTGTTTATCGCGGTACTGGTTTTGATACTACGAGTATTTATGTTTAGATATGACTGTTTATGATGTGGTCAGCCAAATAGAGCACAGTTTTGTTCTGAGAAGTGAGGAGTAAATAATCATCTGTTCCTGCATGTTAATGCTTCCAGATTCAAGGAAATGTGACGTATTGAAGGACTGGTTTTCAGTAGTGAATTATCAGTTAGGAAGTCAGTGTCGGATTGTCATATATTTCTCTGTCAGTTTGAAAGTCAGTGTCAAGACTGTCATTTATTTCTTTAGATATTGTCACGTGTTGGGTATGTAACGCAACAAATAACTTCATGCCATATTGAATATAGCGAATTTATTCCACATTTGCACACTTATACAATTAACAGCTACACGATTACTGCCATCAGCAGTATCACAATTAATTCCACTGCTCTCGGCGACTTCACAATCCACACTGTGTCACTCCTGATCACACACTCTGTTCACATACTGCTCAGCCCGATTTCTATACCATTCCTTGTATCCTCGTGTTAACGGCGGTGTCCCCTGTTATGTCACCGCGGGAGGGAGGGCGGAGTGTTTACTGGCCTGTTACCATAGCAGCCGTAGTTGCTCCAGTGCTGTTATGTCACCGCTGGCGGGTGGAGGGGGGGTGTCCTGCATAGCGAAATTCATCACAATATTTTATTTTGAGTGTCAGAAGGGCTATAAACCCACTGAGCCAGTATTAATTTGTGAGTAAAAAGCATCTTCATCACTGTGACTTTTGGTATCAGTGTCAGTCTGTCACTCTTTGACTAATATTACAATTACTTTGCATCACTATTTCTATTTTCTATTGTACAAAGTGTGATGTTGCGCTATGTGTCATGGACTGCTTCGAGAAGTGGCACGTGCTCGCGTCATAGAGTGTAATGTATCGTAAACTGTGAAGTGACTGCATACTTCTGTATACATTTTATGTACATATGTAGCTGTTGCAAGACGTTCGCACTCCTGCTTCTACACAGTGTGGTGTGCCCAATACCATTTCACACATCCAGAAGTAGTGGCCATTTTCTGCAAAAGTAGGAGTTTACATTTCAAGTAATCTTGTGTGGCAACCTAGGTGACAGTGCAGCTTAATGTCTGTTGACTCACAAACCTCCACACATGCTGATGGACTCAGTCTGACACCACACAAAGGGGTGTGATCTCTTGGTCCCTCCCTCCCTCCCTCCCTCCCCGCTCCGTCACCGTTCTCACACCTAACGAATTTAACATCTCACTGTATTGAGGCTTCAAGCTTATTTTTCTTGCTATTACGATTAATCATGTTATTTGAAGAAAGCAGTCTTCTGGGATTTGGCACCGTGTGCCCTTCGGTCCTTAAAAGCCAATGAGGCGCTCACCGTCCTTCCGGCTGACAAGGGTAATGCAGCAGTGGTACTGGATACGTCCGACTACAACCGGAAGATCGCCGCTGTCTTGGAGGATAAGGCTTACAGGAAGTTGAAGAAGGATCCTACTGATGCCATAGAGCGGAAGACTGTCCTTCTTCTGAAAAAGACCC